TGCCACTAATATTTCATCATCTGAATTAGGCCTGGATGTTCACGCTTGTGTGACCCAATCGGTTTTCGACTTTCTTACCTAATCTCCTTCCTCGTAAGCCTGCCTGTAACGATTCGAAAGAAAAAAAAATTGCCACACCCTTAAACTTCGAGGTAGAATTATTGGTCAATATTTATACATTTTTTCACAACTTAGTCTTCCTTTCATTCGAACAGAGTGCACGCAGACAATGACGGCACTAAATGGCACATTCCGCAGTCCATACTATCCACAAAACTATAACAACAAGGCCTGGTGCAAGTGGCATATTGAAGTCCCTTGGAATTACGCTATTCTGATCACTTTTGATGACGTCAGTTTAGAGTCCGGTTGCTGTTGGTGTGACTATGTCGACGTGTTGGAAACACTAATGAACGGAACAACAGTGTTGATTGGTTCAGTCTGTGACATGACAACGCCTCAATTAAATTCCAGTGGAAACAATGTTACGGTTATTTTTCGATCAGATGATACTCTGTCAGGCAAAGGATTTCGTGCCAGGTACCAAGCTATAAAGATTAGGGGTAAGCCTCAAAAAACCTTAAACATTTAGACATCCGATAACTTTCATAGCTACATTTGACTCTCTCGAAAAAGGGTGATGTTTTTGTATGCTTATAATTTTCCAGGTCATTTGCCTTTTGATAAAGCGATCGGAGACGGATGTGCTTACGAAAGACAAAAGTATACAGTAGCCTTAACATGAAACTGAGGTTTTGATATGATTTCTAAGGCTTAACTTAACAACCATTAACGGAAATACGTTTAAAGAAAATTCAAATGTGAGGGCGTAGCATGGAGTGACCTCAAGGTCCAAGAAGTCCCCTCTTTTTGAGGAAAAGGTTATAAATACCTCACACTAACCGAGTTGATGGTTCATACTTAAGTTTTCTCCGCTGCGATTTGCTCTTTGGCCACGAAAGTCATAACTTTTTTGAAGTTACTTCGGGGAAGGGAAGGGGTGGAATGAGAGATTTTGTCCACACAAACAGTTTTCTTCTTTAACGAGCTGCTCAGTAGAGTACAGCTCGCAAAATTGACCGATACAAGAAGACGTAGTAACTGTGATGGTGGCTATTAATATGAAGCGAATATGCAATCTAATCGAATGTCACAATCTGATTGGCTACGCTACTCGCTATCTATTGCGTAATAGACTGTCGGTAGGGTGAGTAGCTTAACAGCATGCAGTTGCAAACATAATAACAAGAATATGCGCTGGGGTTGTTGTTACGTTTTGAATAACTGAAAGATTTTTATTCAAAAAAATTATATAACATTCACCCTCGATTTTTATGCTGAATAGTTCAGTGATTCG